CAAAACAAATTTCTTCGTAGAGGGGTCTAAACACAGCACAAACTACATTTTCCAAAAGATCTAAAAAGTGAAAAAGTATATTTTAACAAAACGCATTTGACTAGCAAGTCGAACAACGGATGTTCTTAAACCCTGCTGACTGCCATTGGCGATTGCCAAATAAACGGATCACCAGATGTAACAAAATGGATATTAACTATTAATTTAATACCAAACAGAAAACAATAAATTTGCGGAAAAGATGGTATACCGCAAACAAAAGGTGCAAAATATAGTACACCATATCCGGATTTCGACAATTAATGTCTCTTCAGTGATGTTAAGAATCGATACGGTATTTGGAAGGCCATATAATTTACCTCAATTTAGGATAGACTCTTGAATTTTGAAGAGTCGAAATAGGATGAACGGATCATATAAACCCGAAGGCGAATATAATACAAGCCTAAACGAAAAAATATAAACAAGTCTAAATTGAAAACAACGTTCAAACCTATGATTGCGTTGGATAAAAACGGCAATTTTTATACGTGTGCATGCAGTCTAAATACAGCACAAACAACGTTTTCCATAAGTCCTAAAAAGTGAAAAAGTATATTTTAACAAAACGCATTTGACAAGAAGGTCGAACAATGGATATTCTTAAACCCTTTTGACTGCCATTGGCGATTGCCAAATAAACAGATCACCAGATGTAACAAAATGGATATTAACTATTAATTTAATACCAAACAGAAAACAATAAACTTGCGGAAAAGATGGTATACCGCAAACAAAAGGTGCAAAAATTAGTACACCATATCCGGATTTCGACAATTAATGTCTCTACAGTGATGTTAGGAATCGAAATGGTATTTGGAAGGCCATATAATTTACCTCAATTTAGGATAGGCTCTTGAATTATGAAGACTCGAAATAGGATGAATGGATCATATGAACCCGAAGGCAAATACATGTATAATACAAGCCTAAACGGAACAAATATAAACAAGTCTAAATTGAAAACAACGTTTAAACCTATCATTGCGATGGATAAAAACCGCAATTTTTATACGTGTGCATGCAAAACAAATTACTTGGTAGAGGGGTTTAAACACAGCACAAACAACATTTGCCAAAAGACCTAAAAAGTGAAAAAGTATATTTTAACAAAACGCATTTGACAAGCAGGTCGAACAACGGATGTTCTTAAACCCTGCTGACTGTCATTGGCGATTGCCAAATAAACGGATCACCAGATGTAACAAAATGGATATTAACTATTAATTTAATAGCAAACAGAAAACAATAAACTTGCGGAAAAGATTGTATACCGCAAACAAAAGGTGCAAAAATTAGTACATCATATCCGGATTTCGACAATTTATGTCTCTTCAGTGATGTTAGGAATCGAAACGGTATTTGGAAGGCCATATAATTTACCTCAATTTAGGATAAACTCTTGAATTTTGAAGAGTCGAAATAGGATGAACGGATCATATAAACCCGAAGGCAAATATAATACAAGCCCAAACGAAAAAATATAAACAAGTCTAAATTGAAAACAACGTTCAAACCTATGATTGCGTTGGATAAAAACCGCAATTTTTATATGTGTGCATGCAAAACAAATTTCTTGGTAGAGGGGTCTAAACACAGCACAAACAACATTTTCCCAAAGACCAAAAAAGTGAAAAAGTATATTTTAACAAAACGCATTTGACTAGCAGGTCGAACAACGGATGTTCTTAAACCCTGCTGACTGCCATTGGCGATTATTTCCATTTTACAGTTAAGCAAATCATTCATACTCTTCAATAAAAGAAGATTTATCAAATTTAAACATTCAAAGGCTATAATTCTTGAAACCATAAAGCCATTTAAGTATCAAGCCACTTTGACAAATTGTTTTCTTAACAATTATATGATCATTATTGTTTTTTTTTTTTTTAAATAAATTTTGTTTACAACATTTTACAAAGTTGCTTTATATATAATACTTCAATAAAAATACAATTCATGTTTTCAAAAATAATTTTTTTTCATATTCAAAGAAAGATAATCTCAAATTTAAATTGTGCCTTTTTGTTATAAGACTTTTTGTCCGTGACTTTTTGTCTGTGACTTTTTGTCCTGTGACTTTCTGTCCTACATTCGATGAAAATTATGTAAATATGCTTAAATTTGTAGTATATCTAAAGGGTATTCATTAAACTTTCAACTCCTGTTAAATTTTAAGTGATTCTGAAATGTATAGGGTGAATGATTGTCTAAGTAAATGGTCTAAATTTTATTTTCGATTTTAACCAGGAAGTTAATAAAATGACCCTATATTAATACTCAAAGCAGTATTGCTCTCTTAAATGCTGGTCATGACCCTTCAAGAATTCTCCAAGAAACCATGAAGGGGGATACTAGTATGAGAAAGTAATTGAAATTTTGCAGTCTAATATAGGAAATAAAACAATTGCCCCTCAATTTTGATAAAATTGGATTGAAGTAATGGGGGAAATAATTTGGTCCCCGTTCCAAAAGTAAACACGGAAGTGTTGTGGTGTGATTAAAAATACATGTTCCGGATATGGCACCGAAATTTTTCCGTGAGATGGATTTAACTTTATATCATTGAAAACATACAAAAAATATTTGGTTCTGACAGAAAGTTTTAGATAATGAAGTAACAAAACACTATTTTGCTTGTGTGATTTTTCTCTATTAAACAATAAGTACAGGATGTAGCCATATATCAGTCAAATTCTAACTTGCGTTACTTAAGCATGTTAAGTTTAGCGGAAGATCGATTTAACAAAATGCTTCTCTTCATGCTGAAATATCTGATATGAAAATATCTTAATTGTGCTCATAGTTAGAAAATAACATACCAGACGTATCCACAGATTCAGCTTTATAACTTGGTTAGGCTCGTCCTGTAAAAACAAATATATAACTTAAAAGGAACCATACGATAAAACGGGTATAAGCCGAGGGCATCTTATGTTTTAAATAAAGGATTGCTAGCCTCGCATATAACTTTATAAATTTGGAATTTTGTTTTAGAGATTTAATAGGTAGGCCTGTTTGAAATTGTTTCAGCAAATGGTGTTGTATATTGTGGATTCGTGGTTTACCAATTTTCGTGTATTTCGTGGATGCATGACGAATTTAAATGTTTGAAGAAGTGCAAATTTTCTAAAGACTGGCATACAGGCTGGCAAAACTATGACCTGGATTATAGTTTTCTAATGGAAGACTATCAAGCCTGCTTCATATGTTAAGATCATCGCAAATCATGACAATGTTTTGGTATGTCACAAAAGATGTTCTTCTACAGAAATTTAAGGAAAGAAAAAAAAGGCACCAGTATAAAAATAAGAAGATGTGGTTTGGTTGCCAATGAGAAAATTAACTCTCCACAAAAGACCAAAAGACATAGAATTTAACAACTATAGGTCACCGTACGGCCTTCAGCAATGAGTAAAACCCATACCGCATAGTCAGCTATAAAAGACCCCGAAATGACAAATGTAAAACAATTCAAACGAGAAAACTAACAGCCTGATTTATGTACAAAGTAATGAACGAAAAACAAATATGATATACAGCAACAAACGACAACAACTGAATTACAGGCTCCTGACTTGGGACAGGCACATACAGAATGTAAAGGGGTTAAACTAGTTTGAAGGCGCGACAACCCTCCCCTAACCTGGAACAGTGGTGTAACAGTACAACATAAGAACAAACTATAAAAATCAGTTGAAAAGGGGTTAACTCATCAAATCGATCCAAAGCAGAAAGACATCTAACAAAACACAGAGTGGACGTGGCAGGGTACTCATACATCCCTACAACAAAAAGACACTAAGTACAGATCTGAGGTTTGATTTTGTTCTAAGCTACCATGTAGTGGTAACATATGAAATCAAAAAGAATGACAATGATTAACAAAAAAAATACGGAAACATGCACTAAAAATCATTACTTGAAAGCACTGATTTTCTAGCAAGAGTAGAGTAAAAAATCGTATCATAGAATGGTCTGAGTAGAAGAGAAGCTTAAGATACCAAAGATATATTCAAACTCCTAAGTCGAAAAAAACTGACAATGCCATGGCAAAAAATGAAAAAGGAGGAACTATAGGCAAGTTCAATATGTTTAACCTGTTGATATTAAGGCATGTCATCCTACATTCCAGTGGCTTTGCTGTACTTTAAAGTAGATTCCATACAACAACGTTAAAAACAATACAGGAAGACACGGTCTTGTGCAAAGACAAAAAAAATCCCTACAGATTTTCAAAGCAGAAAAAAATAAAAGATTTTAATCGTACAAGTACGTTTTCCTTTGACAACATATAGTCTAGCTAGGCAAAAGGGGAGTTTATGTCCACGTAAAACTGATCTATACAGGTATCGTGTTTTGTGACTATTCCAAGTCAAACTATCTGAGTGATATGCTCTCTGTTGTTGTTTCTGTTTTTTTGTGAGAAGTCGGGTGTCGATGGATTGTTTGGTCTGTTGTACTGTTTAATTATAATAATTTGGTATGTTTACATTTCTCTAGCTACAATAAGTTTATATGTATGCATCTGTTCCTTTTTTTTGAATTTGAAAAAAAAACTACGACAATGACGTCTCATCATGAGGGTTAAAGGTAGTATTGTATTTACGCCTTCTCCTCTTTTTGTTACAAATAACATTTATACAACAAACATTACCTCGTACAAGAATCATTCATACATCTATAAACAATCTAAAGTTTGATTTTTGTTTATTACAACTTCTTCAGGTTCATTTAATATGGTTTTGGTCCGTTTTGTTTGGGACCTGGAGTATGAACAAATCTTAACCCACCTTTTCCTCGTAAAGTTTAATATTGAAATATGCATCAAAAGGCGTAAGATTTTCTTTAAAAATTAGTTTACAACTTCATTTTGCAACTGTTTTACAACATTTCGATGGCCGTTAGGCTACATTTAACACTACAATACAAACTAACAGAAGTAGCTTGGTATAACATACCAGTTCTATAACTTGTCTCAGTGCAATGCCTAGAGTAGCATTAACTTGCGTAGTCCCATTACATACTGGTCTCAAGCTGCTATCATAATCTGCAAATATCACATCGCTGACAGTCTTAACAGGACTTGTAGTACAATGAACAGCTAGAAAAACAAAGATATAATGGGTGCTACAACCTGATCTAAATACTTCTAAAAAGCAAAACCTTCACAAAAAACTTATCAAGAGATGAAAGACATGTAGGTTGTAACAACATGATCAATTACATTGGAAATCCAAAATATATTTTTACACTTTTATCCATTGTGTGTTCATTGGAATGGGTTGGAAAACCATTCGCGTAGGACACGTCATAGGCAATTATTTATGAATTTAAATGACAATTGTTTCAGTGTCTGATGCATTTGTACAAAGATCTTGTAAAATATAATCTGTTTAGTTATCTTATTTGCTTTGTTCATAACCCAGAATAATAACTTACATGTGACTGAATGATGGTGCATAGATATTAATAGTTTTACAGACAAAATCATGTATGGGTATTTAGAAAATATACGAGGTTCACGGAAAAAAAATGAGGAAAAATGTTGTCGAGTAAAATACACGTTTATTTTCATGGGACCTATATATATATATATATAAAAATATATGTAAAAGAGAGTCGGAAGTTAACGTTGGGACATTGTCATTGCAAATAAGACGACGAGAAGACTAACAAGACCACAAAGCAATGCATAAAAAGCTAAAAACTGATCAACACGAAACTCGCCAAAATATTGGGGTGATCTCATGTGCTCCGAAAGGGTTAGCAGATCCGGCTCCACTAGTAGAACCCGTCATGCTGCTCATGTTAAGTACAAATTATGGTGATCTGTTGCATTCTGTGAAATGTTACATTCGGTGATATTACAATCGAGGAAAGAAGATTGAATTGTCGTTACAGCGATTTGAAAATATATGTGGTCGTTTGTGACACAGATATTCTTGAACGGTCAACCAACTCGTAATTACGTCACTGTATAACGATGTAATCCTGTCAATAAAGTTTGGTATTCATTTCTCTAATAATTGCAAATCTGCTTTGTTCTATTGTTCGGTTTCAAAAGACTGGTACTTAAAAAATTAACCAACCTTTAAAAGTTCTTTATAATTTGGTCATAAGCAAACAGACATTTTCATAATAAAGGGATACGGCCAAATTCCCCTAAATCTATTTTACACCAATACCAATTTTTAAACGTACTTTGATGTTTACCTAAACTACATCGGGATTCGAAAAATGTTACGACTTATATCTGAACAAGTGTAATTTTAACAGATGTACAAATTGTACAATAAGCACATGCTTAACCAAAACATATAAACATATGGGTCATTTTTTTTTTTGTCTTTTGGTTCATTTTCCCTTCTGTGATAATTCCAGTTCTACACAACATTAAGGTTGCAGTTATTAAGGTTTGCTCAGTTTATTTCTTTCTTCAAAACTAAAACAGAAAAAGATGTATTCATCTTTAGTGTTCAGACAGCAAACACTTTATAGGGACCAAAATGTAGGATTCCAAAACATATAGGCGAAATGACCAGAAAGTAAAATAATAAATTTGACACACTGGAATTAGAATCCAGAGGAACCTTAACTTTGAAGAAAAGTATTTAAATTCAAAGTAAAGAGTAACTAGAGAAGAATATACGGAAATTGGGCTGGAAATTTAAGGATACTTCGCAGACAAAGAAACTGTGAAAGGTGAATTTTAAATCAGGAATAAATTAAGTTAAACTCCAAAGAAACGCATCCATGGATGTTCACCTTGACGAATATATTCGGTATGCTCGAAAAGAAATCACTTCTAATCGGGAAGTAGAGTAAAACCGGACATTTTGAAACGGATCTATCTGCACTTTTTAATTGTCTAGAGACAGGCAATTCAATAGTCTTTGTGTCAGGATTGTGCAAATGTTATCATGTACTCAGATTATTATTAACGTTTTGTGGCGGAACAAATGAGCAATAAAACATTTTATTCATAATATAGAACAAAATATAATACAATTAAAAAAGCCGATTGCCTTGCTAACTATAAACAAATGTCATACAAGAGGGAGGTTTAGCTAGCTATAAACCTGGTTTAACTTACCATTTTCTTCGGAAAATGTCTGTACCAAGTCATGAATGTGGCAGTTGTTTTTCAATTGTTTCATTTATTGATAGCGTTTGATTTTGTCAGTTTTTATGGAATCCCCCCCCCCCCTTTTTGAATTTGCCTTGGAGTTCTGTATTTTCGTTATACATTTTGAGAACCTGAACAAGGAACTTTTACGAACTTTATAAGGTACACAAATCATAAATGGAAACAATATAATAACGACAATGTTCTTCTTCCGTTTGCTCATCCAAACACAAAACAAACTTTTCTGATTACATAAAAATAAAACAACTGAAGACTTGTTTGGATTGAGAGACGCACCAATATAGTTTTAATATACAATATTAGCTGGCATGGAATGTTATTCAACATAATGTTATAATGAAAGAAAACGTCAGCACAATCCTTGTATCACAATCTACAAATACAAATAATATGATTTAGAAAATGACATGATTTACCTGCAAAGGCTTTATAATAAGCTACATCTGAATATAACTGTAAAACTAGATTTGTTTTTTTTTTCTCGATTATTACGATGATTAGAAAAAAAGGAATCAAAAGAATTATATAAAGGTCTAAAACTGAACAACCTTCTTATTACTCAAGGAAAAGTAAAAGCAAAAACAAAAAATCGAGCAACATCAAAAGATTTGAAAAGACCATTCATAACCAGCCCGGTATGTTCACTGTTTAAGCAATTTAGATTGCATCATTTTTGGAACCGTTATGTTATTGTTTTAATATACATAGCTTTATTCGAGACAACATCAATTTTTAGTCTCACTTACCCGAAAGACAGAACGTTTTTCTTACTTGTTACATACAACGTTACTTGCCTCTTTACCAACAAACTGCGCTATTTAGAATTAACTTTAGTAAAATATTGGATTGATACTGTGTAACAGTTTGCGAGAGATTTTCTAGATTTTATTTTTTTCAACCGATAAAACAAGATAGAATGCATATGGTATAAATAAGGTAGTTTTTGTCTTGTTGATATTTTGTTGTATTTTTCTTTTTTATAGAACAATCTATTTGTTATGCATGTACTCTTTTCAAGGAACTGTATTGGATTTTCCATTCTAAAAATGGCTAGAAACAAACTTTTGAGAAATTTAAATTTAAGTTACAGAAAATGTTTTATTTCTTCCTTTAGGTGCATATACATTGTTATCATTATATCTATGCTACACAAAATATAAACCTTGAAATTGTTTTTGCTTTCGGAATAAAGTATTCATTATTATTATACTTTGAATTAAGGTATTTTTAATGCACAGTTATGAGATTTTTTTGTCGTAAGCTTTCAGTATTGGTTTTTCAAGTATGATATACAATAACTATTGTTCTTAATTTGATGAGGTTGATACAATAATTTATTAACCAGTGAGATATGATATTCACCGAGGCCAACGGCCGAGGGTGAACGTCATATCTCTGGATTGATAAATCATTGTTTAAACTGATATCAAAAGTCAACTATTACAATTGTTTTATTATATGACTTTTTTGTTATCCATCTCCAATTTTATAGTATTTGTTCAAGATATTTAATTGCTCCTTATTTTATACTAAATGTATGATCTACTTTGGCAGTTACTAAATTTTATAAGTTTAAATGCACAGAATGTATTTGATACAAATTCACTAAACATAAACCCGAAAAAAGAAGAAAAACGAGAATGTGCATGACATTATAAATCTACGTCATTGACGTTGCTTTGGAAAATAACTATTCAGGTTCACGTTAGCTGTTATAAACCTTATATTAAGGTGGTAGACCTGTGGTATGGGAGACAACTCTAACAAAGGTATTGGAAGTCATTTGTGCGTTTTAACCTAGCAGTAATTGAAACAGTGATCAAGCATTTATGTTGTTTACATTTGGTTATGAGAATGATGCAGGAGCATCTATGAAAATTGTACAATGTTCACTCCACCAAGCATTCAATTAAGGAATTACATTTTGTTTATTTTAAGTTTAAAAAAATCAAAAACGGAAAAGATAGAAAATTGACATTCATACATGAAATGCTTTTAAAAAATGTACCGAGGAGATTTTTTAATTACTCTTGACATCATTAAGATAAAAAGGATGGAAGGTTTGGTAAAAATTTAATTGGATAAAAAGTGTATTGAATAATAAAATTATAAGGTTTCAGTGATAAGCTACAAATGTATTGGTTGATAGGATGTACTTAACTGTATGTCTTTGGTTTTCAAATACAAACAGCAACATTCTAGAAGAGATGATCTGAACATCCATCCTAGTACAAGCTAATGCTAACAGATAATCTACATTAGCACAAAGATAGTACTAAGATAGTGACATACTCTCAACACATTGAATTACGCATCTGCTAATAGGAGCATTTTATAGTCATAGGGAGGGAATGTACATTACGTATCATAATGTTGATTTGTCAATTCGTCCCAAGGGTAATTGTCCCATACTGAATTTTGCTGCTTCTCCTTATAAACTTGACTACAGTTATCATTGGGATCATTCAAGTTTTACTTATGCACATGAAAATAATGCAAAGAAAAACTGTAGAAGATTTTATAAAGAAAAAACAATTTTTATAAGGTCTGTATGCCAAATTGTTTAAATATTTTGTAAATTTCAAAAGGTCAAATTCAATCAAAGTTTGTGTTTTTCAAGATTTACAAACAATAATTGTTTAGGCAATTTTTTGCCGGAATTAAACAATGATTTTTTTCTGAAAAAGGTTTAAAAATAAATGTGTAATCTAAGCTGCCCAAAATTTTTGACTTATTCGGTCAATTTAAACAATTTATTTACATTCAGGCTACAAATATTACCATGAAATTTCAGATTTACTATAAAGTATCATAATGTTTCTACTATGGATTTTTTAGTCATGGGTATTCCTAATGAAAACATGTGCAAAAACACACAATAATATATTCCTACTAGTTTTTTTACCTTTCTTTAAGGTACCCCAAAACTGGTCATATTCAATATACCCTAAACATAAAATGCAACGGTGAATTTTATTGATTTTATTAGTCATGGAAATTCCTAATGAAAACATGTGCAAAAACACACAATAATGTATGCATACTAGTGTTTTTGACCTTTCTTTAAAGTAACCCACAACTGGTCATATTCAATAAATCCTAAACATAAAATGCGTCCGTGAATGTTAACAAGACTTTGCCAGTTGATGCATGGACCCTTATAGTTGTAAATATAATAAAAATTGAACGAGAGGAAAATTTTGGGATTACAAATGCTTACCCCTTAACCTCTCGTGATTTTTCCTGCGGTGAATATAACGATTTATCAAGGAACATTTACTATGTTTTTGTTTAGCCAAGGAAAAAATAAAGTTTTCAAATTCATATAATATTGTTAATTATTCCCTGGAAGGTTTGTCGATTAATATTTTTGTTTTTGACTCTGAATTGTTCCCTTTTTTTTCAATTTACGTGTGCGATTTTTTTATCAAAAGAATAGTTTTTCAATTTCGCAGTTACTACTCCATCAGTGATACTGATGCATGCAGTACTTAATTTGCTACTTAATTGAATACCATTTTATTCAAGAAAAATAAAACATTTCAAAGACACTGTTACGGACCACTTATAAGGTGAATAACTAACTATCTTTCCGTAAATACAGGTTTCCATATTTGCTACGTATCGGGTACGGTTGGTTCGTAACTCAACGTTAGTGTTGTTCTGGAGGTATCATTTATGGAATGAGATTATTTTATTCATCATTATAAAATTAAAGAAATTAAAGTATTGTGAACATAATTGTATGAATTTCAAGATTATATATTCGTTACAAAAATACGTCACTGTTTGTGATGTCCTATGCTGTCTGTCGTTAATGGAAGATGTTCGTTGCTATTCTGCGGTTTACATGTATCGACTATTATTTTATTTATTTTTGCGTTTCTCTGTATTGAGTGTTCTTGTGTGTGTTTGTGCTGTATTTCTGTCACGTAGTGTTGTCATTTTAGCGATATTTTTTAACATTGCCATATAAGCTGGAGGTTTGGCTAGCCATAAAACCAGGTTCAACCCACTATTTTTTCTTAAAATGTCCTGTACCAAGTCAGGATATGGCAGTGGTTATCAAATAGTTCGTTTCTATGTATGTTGGCGTTTGTTTTTGTTGCACTTCAGTGTTTCTGTTGTTCCTTTGTTTTCCTCTTAGTAGATGTGTTTCCCTCGGTTTAAGTTTGTAACCCGGATTTGTTTTCTCTCAATCGATTTATGACTTTTGAACAGCGGTATACAACTGTTGCCTTTATTTAACTTTTTGATTGATAGCAATTTCACCGTTTGAAGATCTCTTTGTTTGTGATTCTATATGAAATCATTTAGTTAGTGCACAGGTGCATGAATCAAACATACCGTACACGAACTGAGTCGAGACGGCCTTTAAATTCTCAATATAGATTTGCGTTTCTGTTTGTTAATGTAGTTGGGTTTTTTGTTTTGTTTTTTTATATATATATATAAACAATTCTTATGTATAAACAGAGTTTTGAATCATTAAAATACTATCTATGAACGACTTTCTTAAACACATGTTACTGATGTTGGTTATATATGTTAACATATCAAAATTGTGTTGATTTCTCAATGTAGTTCCAGCATGATTTTGAAATTATTTACTTAGTAGTTAAGTAAAATATTCCATGATTACAGAAGATTTTTTCTTGAAAAGATGAGTGAGCTGGGCACCCTTCTAACGTTTTTTTTTTAACCAACAACTGAAGATTGTTTTCTAGGTATGCATTCTTTGAAAGTAAACTGAAAAATATTAAAAAATAATTATTTACGATTTTATTACCGAAGAAAAAACCACCAATGTCTCGAATTGTTAAATAAAAAAGAAAGAACAATTGTTTTATAATTATAGTAAATTGCACTGACACTCTTCTTGAAAAAGTTTACGAGCGTATTTTATAATGTGACCCTTTCTTCCTACTTTTATTATTGGTAAAATGAGGTTGACTTTGTATGTTAAAATGGTTCTTATTTTTTCATGTTTTCTAAAAGCATGCTAGAAAATTTTAACCAATTCATTCAATATAGTATTAATAATGTAGCATGCGAAAATCAGATAGATTAGACATTTGCTTTAATTAAATTTTTGCTTCTTTTTACCTTTGCGATTTCAGAGGAAATACATCTAAATTACAACCGTTCGTGCAACGGTTACTTGCAACGGTTGTTTTAAAGCATAATCGAGTACACACAATACTGTTTGCTATAAATACGAAAAATATCAACGTGAAATTAATATCAAGTTGTAGCTAAAAATCCTCCTAATACTTTTGATAATGATTCATAACACATACGTTGACATTAAGTGTATACATCAATTATTTTCAAAAGTTCAATGACGGCTCGCAGTTCGTTCTACGGTTGGTACGTTAGCAAATCGGGAACGTTAGGCTAAGGTTGCGTAGCCAACTATGAATCTTTTTAATCTATAGACCATTAATAATTAAACTAACAAGTGAAAATCGTCAAAACGTTTACCTCTGACCAGTCACACATTTCTTAAACAGTCATATATGTTAATCGTTCACGAAAGTGTATGCAATATTTATCTTTTCTCTAACTTTTGGTAATTTAACCCTTTCTTATCCATTGTTTAAAAAAAAATTTTAATCAACGTGTGGTTGCTGATAATCTCAGTACATGATTGATTAAGTTAATAGGTTATAAAATTTATCAGCTCTCAGGATGAATCCAAATGTTCTTACAGGTCTTAGAGAAACTGACCACTTTATAAAAACTTTTAGTACGCGGAAATTATAGTTAGACCTTCATATATTGTTGTTCAAGTTGTTTGCTATTACATATGAATATATATTTCATTAAATGCAATGTGCTTGATTAAAATTTGTCTTTTATTTGTGTTTGCTTCAATTCGATCCAGAGATGCATAAATGAAGTTTTGTGAATCAATGAGTTTCGTAAGTGTATGACGTAGAAATCAGAAGTGTGACGGAGATTTTGATTTTGTTTTTTTTCTTCAAAAATGAAAATTTATTTGATAACCATCCAAGAAACAGATCCTTACAGAGTTACTCGTGGATTATCGGATTTCTCCAATCTCGATAGTTAAATTATCGAATTTCAAAGTCCTCGCCGCGAGGCTCTGACTTCGATAATTTAACTATCTCGATTAGGTAAATCCGATAATCCACTGGTATCAATGTAAGAATCTATTTTTATCACAACTAGAATTTTATCATGAAACATGAACATAACATGTGTTTTATTTGAATTTATATGTCTATATGAATTCCTTCGCATTTTTATCACATAAATAGACCTGTTGTTGTCGTGAATTGTCATGACGTTATTTGACCAAATACACAACCGCATCCTACAGTTACAGTGAATACAAATAAAATAATGCCAAGTCTGTCTAGTGCAACAGAAAAACACTTCCATAAAGCCGTATTAGTCGGTTCTTTGTCTTTCTCGACTATATCTTCAACATGGTTCTGAAAAATGATTTAAGAAAAGAACTTAAGGTGCATATCAATTATATGATAAATTTAAAGTTTAAAGTAGAAATAAACAGTCTTTCTTTTATACCTAATTATTATCCTTTAAGAGTTGCCATGCTATGCATCATATGCCATGCTTATCCACTTCAAAACATTGTGGCATGAACGGAATTATAAAACTTTTAACCAGACGGTATTTCAACATTTACTTGGACATCTCCATTAACTTTTGCTACACATCAGGTTGCATACGATATACACGCCATCACTAAATTATAAGTAAACAAGTTTACTTAGTTCTGGTAGGTTTCCTTATGATGTTGATTAGATTCTACTGGCCCAAGTGGGAGAAAGAATCCAGAATGCCTTACGAGGAGGAGAAGAACTTGTAAACGGAGTTTAACACTATGGGTAATCGAGACCCGTTCGATGACTTATATTGCTAAAAGATCACGATGATACACTTTGTTGGATAAGCGCGAGGGCTGGAGGCTGTGTTACTGACTCTTCCTGTATTGGTATACGCAGACGTGTCGCTGGTATAGGTCACTTTTTTAAATGTCAAATATATCTATATATGGGGTTTCATTTCAAAGAGATAATATAACAATGGGTTGAAATATATATATATCAATGGGTCATAAATATTCATCTTCCGTTAACTTGTCTGTAAAACTATGTACTTATCTTTATTATCTTATTTATTATGAAAGATTCATGTCATTAAAATCTAATTAAGATGCCAAGAGTAAAACAACAAAAATACCGAACTCCAAGGAAAATTCAAAACGGAAAGTCCTTTATCAAATGACAAAATCAAAAGCTCAAACACATGAAACGAATGGAAAACAATTGTCATATTCCTGACTTGGTACATGCATTTCCTTATGTAGAAAATGGTGAATTAAACCTGGTCCATTATATTGACAACAACGTGTGAGCAAAACAAACTGACATAATGGGTAAAATGTCAAAAATTGTGTTACATATGTCTGAAAACTGGGATACACATTAATGAGTGATAATTTCCTATGAAATACACGTATAAGAAGGGATTTTCGAATAAATCAATACTTGAATTTCGGGTGGTTTTTAAACTCCAGCCGGATGTATGTACTTAATCCTCCCTTAATAAAAATCACACCAAAAACTAAACAAAAAACTGACGAAATCTTAATACTGCGAGGCACTCCGTACCTTTTTAGACATATTAAAGTTGTAATAAACAAGGGTTACCTTTTTGCAACATTTTGATGAAATGTATCCCGGAATCTGAACCATTGTTATTGAACACAATGGTACGATAATATACTTTGTCATCCACAATGGCACAGACTTCTCTCCGCGGTGATAAATATTGATAACAGCTACCTGTATCATTGTGGAAACGGCAGACATCCCAAGAATAAAATTGAAGAAAAACACTGAAAAATTGACGAAAAATTTGTTATGTCATTGATTTTGTTTTAATTTCCTGTTATGTTTTGGAAGAATACACAGTAATATAGTCAACTAACAGTTTATAGTTTATTAACAACACTAGTTGAATCATAATATAAGCAACATATGAGATATTTGAGAAGTGACATATACTCTTTTGAGACCCTATTGTGTGCGTCAAAATGGCTTTCTTGATTAAGCTTTATCTGGGACGCTCAAAGCCAAAAATTAAAAAGCCAACAATGTATAAGCACCTTAACACATGAAGAGCTATATGTCTAAAGCGGACATAAAACAAACTACTGAACCTAGAAAAAATACAACAAAAATAACCTATTGTTAGCTGAAGCGACACCACCTTCAAAATATTGTAACTACTGTTCACAACTATTTAGGTCAAAGGTCGAATATGGTTACTTATCAAGTCAGAAATTCAATACAATAATGAAGTTGAACTTCAATTAAAATGGTTATAACAATACTACAACATACACTTTGCATTTGCATTAGTAAGCTGAAATTTTAGATATACTTTTATAAGATTGACTTCAGTATTCAATCACTATTATGATAAAAATGTGGTGATCAAATTTGAATTACTTACTTAACCAAGGCGTTGCATCAGCTGATGGTGGTAACTTGTCTGCTACAAGTAACTGGAAAACTGACAATGACAGCATAATTGTGATAACTAATGACGCCTTTTCGCCGGACTCCACTGGTAGGTAATAGCCTAGGATAGCCAACACTGTAATAATCACTGACGGTATAATTATATTCGTTACATAATATGCCGGTTTACGTTGTAAGTGAATGTAAAATGTAATATCTGGATACGGTTCCGGACAGCATCCGTATGTTGCAACATGTCTTTCAACTTCAACATTTGAAATTATCCATTCAACATTCTTCTTCATAGATGATAAATCACCAGGATTATTCCTTGGTTGAATGTCAAGCTGCAACCCATGGTATACCCATGAACCAAAGACTAGAGGACACATCTGAGAATCAAAGGGAAAGCTTGTAACGTCTATAGGACAAATGGATTCGATGAGCGTTGGGAAGTTGTAATAGACTGTTCCATCTTGATAGACAATAGCTTTATAACTTTTCATACCGGAAAGTTCTATGGTGATACTTTAAAAAGAGAAAAAAGAAATCGGTAAAAATGTAGCTATATAATGCATTTTACTTATTTCTGTCTTTCTTAACATGTTCAATTCTTTTTCAATACGCTTGTAATTTTTCACGCTATAGTACATGCGTGACTTGTGTTTGAAAGATGTAATCAACTATGCAACATTGTTTCGAGGCCAGATTTTTTGCCGTTATCAAACACATCAGTCTAAGTCTCGTCCTTTATCTAAGTCAGCCCACTTTATAGAACGTGTCTTTTTGGTTTAAATTTAGCTTATTTGTTCTAGTCTTGATTATTTATCAAATATAGCCAGTTGAAGTTAGCAAACAAAAATCAGTCAATCAAAAGTTGAAATATTAATGTCAAATCAGCAACACCACCTTAAACTAACCTGTATTTGATAGTCCATGGCCTTTTTTATCTTTTTATTATTTGAGCGTCACTGATGAGTCTTTTGTAGACTGCCGTACAAAATGTGTATGAGTTTATTTTCATTGGATTTCGGTGTACCATTAAGATTTATCATTATATACGTCATTGCGTGATGCGTATTCACTTGAAAACTTATTATCGTATTTTATAGGAGTAACGTGACGGGTGTCATATTTGGAACATGATCTGCTCCTTCCGGAGCACCTGATATCAAACGTCGGTTTTTGGTGGTGTTCTTGATGCTCTTTAGTTTTTTATGAAATGTTTTGTAGACTAGTTTTTCTTTTATCGTGTTTCTGTTTATTTTTGACATGGCGTTGTCAGTTTCCATTCGCATTATGAGCTAAGAATGTCTCCTTGGTATCTCTTTTCCTTTTTAGAAACGCGAATTGTATACAACATTCAGTATAACATGATTATATCTCTACATATTTCCGATTTGGAAAGGATGGACAATTGAACATCTAGTGGGATTTTTCTTTCAACCATATTGAGAGCAACACCATTTTAATATGCTAAATTCAGTGAGTAACAGAATTCTCAAAGGGACACATTATTCCGAGCTGACATCTTTAATATGATTTTTATATTGGGATGACACCCCTCAGATATGAGAAGCTTATATCTAAGTGTTGTGACCGTTGATGACCACAAATAAAGCGGTTTCTCAAAGAAATAAAACCATTTACCTCTTCTGTCATCCTTCCTTACTACTCATGCATATCTTATGAGATCTTAATTAGATATATAAAAAAATTATACCTGTCAAAAAGTGTAACATCTGGCACCCAGATCCTTTTAATCGGCACAATAATATATTGCGTATTATTGAAGTCGCTAGGATTCCATTGTAATAAACAGTCATTCCATTTCTGAAAATAAAATATCTGATTTCAAAAATGTGTATAATGTTTACAGAAAGTAATGCCTGGTTGTATAATGGTATAATGTTTACAGAAAGTGATGCCTGATTGTATTATGTTTACAGAAAGTGATGTCTGGTGTGTATAATGTTTACATAAAGTGATGCCTGGTTGTATAATGTTTACAGAAAGTGATGCCTGGTTGTATAATGTTTACAAAAAGTGATGCCTGGTTGTACAATGTTTACAGAAAGTGATGCCTGGTGTGTATAATGTTTACAGAAAGTGATGCCTGGTTGTATTATGTTTACAGAAAGTGATGCCTGGTGTGTATAATGTTTACAGAAAGTGATGCCTGGTTGTATAATGTTTTACAGAAAGTGATACCTGGTTGTATAAATAAATGTTTAACGTGCAACAATAGGCGTGAAATCACTAAATTGATTAATATTGATGCATTATGATTTACACTTGATGTGACAGATAAACTTTTTCTCGCAGACATCAAAGAAAAATAACAAGGAGGATGACGAGTGGCTATTCAACGTCTGGTGGCAAAACAAATGCATATTCAGGACGAGAACATGATAATGTGATATGCATATAAACCCTTTTTTATACTAGACCGACACGCTGCGCTGGATTCCTAACGTGCTAATTCACAAGGTTACAGTACTCAAAATTCCCCTAGAAGTGGAGTGCAGTGCTCTTTATAATATAACTCAGATTTGAATTTTAAACTCATATGGTCTTACAGTATTTAATTTTTTTCTTGATTTTCAACCCGAAAATATGATGGGTTAGTTTTTTTTTCTCATTTATAATGCAGAGTTTAGCATTCAGTGTTTTTGTCATGTGTTTGCACGTCTATCTTAATCATGTTATGATGTTCTTCGTTACAGTATTGTTCTATTGAAAATTAATTTCAAATGGTTTTTGTGAAGTAAATCTCTTTGGTATTTATTTTTACTAAATATTATCAAATTTCCAAAACACAAGAAAACAAATTATTAAGCCAATGAATTTTGCGTTTAAACAAACGATTCAGTTCATGATATGTCTTGTTTTAATTATCAAACCACTTTGAAGTGTAATATTTGACAAACAAATTTTAATTAAGGACTTTCCATTGAATTAGTGACATGAAATTATGGAATTTGTCTTGGGATTTACGCTTATGTGCATAAACCTAACGAAAATAAGGTTCAATAAACTTTGTGATTAATGTCAATTAAAAACAATATATTTAATTATACAATATACCGCATGACACTGTACAGAAGTAGTATTTAAAATATCTATTTAACAACTTAAAGAATTTTTGTTTACTTTTATTAAACTAAACTAATCATTTTTAGGTAGTTACTACAATTGAATAAAAGAACCGCGAACTTAAATGTAATTGATTGACAGGCTGGGCAAAAAATTGATCGCATAAAACTATACCAGTATAACAATAAATAATAATTGTGCTTTTGTGTAATTTTATCTTTGTGTCGAGTTTTTAATGAAAGTTGAATTTCCCACAAACATTATGAGTGAAAAGGCAAATATAATGAGTAAATAATCCATAATTTTAAGAATTTTAAGCCATATGATATATAACAACGAGCTGTTTGTTTAAAGTTTAGTATTCTAACAATATTCAAGACCAAAAGGCGAATCAACTGGTATTCTAATGATCTAACTAAGTATAACTATAAAAAGATTAGGCGAATATGCCAATGAGATAGCAACCCCAAAACAAACTAGATCCAGTGAATTGAATGGAGATTCATAATTAGAAAACAAGATAAAATTATATAAAATGTTACAATTGCTAATTTTACATCTTATTGATGGGACACGTGCTTAACGTGGACTTTGGTGAATAGTTGTCTCATTGGCAGTAAAACCATATCTCCTTACTTTTATATTAGAAATAGCGATCGCTTTGGCATAAGTTTTTAGCAAAAACTGAAAACAATAAATAACTGATAAAAACTGTGGACCTGTTGTGAATACTGTTTTGTATACTAGTAATATAAATAATTATAAATATATTTTCTTTTTATATGTTTGACTTATAACCTGACGAACCAACTGGAATTGTTTGGGTTTTTTTTTTAATTTTTTGTTCTATTATTAAATTATTTTATTCTATTTTTGTTGGGAGGGTGTGACTCTATTTTTCTTTCTTTTGTTTCTCTACTAACAATGTAAACGGACATGTATGACAGTAATCTCAATGTGCATGAGAACAAATTGATTTAAACATCTTCCGTTAGTTTTTTTCTTTGTTATTTTACATTTGTTATGTTTGGGTTTTTTGTACCTTGCTATGCGGTATGGGTTTTGCTCATTGTTGAAGGCCGTACGGTGACCCAATAGTTGCGAACTTCTATGTCATTCGGTCTTTAGTCAAACGTTGTCTAATTGGCAATCATATCAAATCTTCTTACTTTTATATTTCTCACGTATCGCGGAGAAGCCAAATACATAATAGAGTTATCAATGTGACCATCAAAAATGTAAAGCGCATAAACAGGACCACCTGAACGGTCAAAGGTCAACTTAGCCTGTCTGAGGTGAGGGAGTAACATCCTTAGTTCTAAGGCAATAAAATTATTCACAAACTTACATATTACAGCAATAATATATAAGGTAAATCATACCACTTTCAAAGAAGTAGCAAAATGTTTGATAATCTTCACTTCTCTTTTTGATGTTTTTCTTCATAGTCCTTGCTTCAATTTGTTGCACTACATTTTAGATTGTTTCGTTTTCAATGTTCTTCTACTTTTGTATTGATTTGGCCTTCCAACTATTTTGATTCGAGCGCCACTGATGACACTAATTAATGTAGACGAAACATGTATATTTTAAAAAACATAAGCCATCTTTGGTGAGTTTTTATTAGGGTATTAGCTGTATGTTATTGCTAGGAACAGATTGACCGAAATGATTAGAATGACTTATATAACTACATTTGAAAAAGGAGAAGATTGCGTACTTATATGCATAACTAGATTGACCAAGTACTAGATAATGTTAAGGTGTCTGCAACACATATAATACTTTTTAATTGTCTTAATCTCCTTTTTCTTTGGTCGGTTATTAAAGCATTTCAGTGTTTATGGTAGAACTTTGTTAATCTCTCTTCAAATTAACACATTGTCAGACTTGGGACAATTTAGGGCTTGATATACATGTAAGGTGTAGAAACTTGTCAATTATAGGTCATCGTATGTTAACTTCTTGAAATGCCATTTTTGAATTAAGCAGTGTTGTTGAGTAACTTTTACATTTTAAACTTTGACTTGTCAGCAACTCAAAGAACAAAATTGTACTTTATAATACTAGAACTCTTGATTCACATCATCGACATTATCAGAATAAATCATAAGTGTACTTTATTTTGATTTTTTTTACGTTATTGACGTTATTCCATTGACTTATGTGGTCTCATAATTAGAACTGACAAGGTCATTGTTGCTGCTTGAAATTTAAAAAGCATATCTGTATCCGTATGTACATTATTTAACCCTACCTACAGACATATTTTAATATTTAGATAAGTGTGAACTTCAAGGTTTGGCGCCAGCAAACTAGTTTAACCCCGCCACATTCTGAATGTGCGTGTCCCAAGTCAGGAGCCTGTAATTCAGTGGTTGTCGTTTGTTTTCCGTTCATTGTTTTGTACATAAATCAGGCCGTTAGTTTTTTCGTTTGAATTGTTTTACATTTCGGGGTCTTTTATAGCTGACTGTATTGGTTTTGCTCATTGTGGAAAGCCGTACAGTGATCTATAGTTGTTAACTTCTACTTCATTTGGTCTCTGGTGGAGATTTGTCTCATTTGGCAATCAAACCTCTTCTTCTTATTTTTATAATTTTATCATTTATCACATTGTTTTTAGAATCGCGATATGGAGATTATTCAAATTAAGATATTCATCCATTTGTTTAATGTACTGACGTAGATTATCCAACAAACGTACTGTTGGCGTAAAATATAGTCATCTAAACCCAAATATTTTGACAGAACGATAACAATTATAATCAAGTGTGATGTTATTTCCTAATCTTTGAAATAGTCGATCTTATACACTATACCAATCAATAAAACTGGCTTTCAACAACTTCGATATTGAATTTGCATAGTATCAAAAAGTAAAGATTGCAATGATTAAGATTCAAAGCGGTTTCCTTTATGTGCATTTGAAAACAAAGTTTTATTCGTGTATCAAGTGAAGAAACCAAGACCAAATTATCTCCCTTTATTAGAATGGCTGTTTCGATTTCATGAACTTAAATATCTGAAAACACCAATGGTGACTCTTAACAATACATTTTCATGTGTAGCCAGTAGAAATTGCTAGACTTTCCTTCAATGCATCACTAACTGTTAAGTTTACATACTGATGTGAAAAGCGCAATGATTAGATATGCGTATTTTATTGTTTTACCCCTCCATTAATGTGTGTTTAATGAAGTTATTAATTTCACCTAATTATACTTGGCCTAATCGTACAGGCAGTGGAATTAATCGAATCTTTTCACTATTACTACTACTAAATATAAATTATCTAATATAAACTGTTTGTAACTTACCAATCGCACCCATAAGTTTAACTTCACTACTTGGTTTGGTTCATCCTATAAATGAGGAATATAATTCAAGCTTAATGGCGTATAAAATAATTCTGAAAAAAACTTTTCTATTCCAAATATTATGAGATATTATTTTCTTATGTTTTGTGGTCTGACCTCTCACATCATTGTGTTAGAGATGTAGCTCTCATAAAATTTCTCAAAACCTAAAATGTTTAACCCCGCCGCATTTTTGCGCCTGTCCCAAGTCAGGAGCCTCTGGCCTTTGTTAGTCTTGTATGTTTTTTTAATTTAAGTTCATTTATATGTTTTGGAGTTTAGTATGACGTCCATTTTCACTGAACTAGACGTACACATTTTTATTTAGGGGCCAGTTGAGGACCACCTCCGGGTGCGGGATTTTCTCGCTGCGTTGAAGACCCATTGGTGGCCTTCGGCTGTTATCTGCTCTTTGGCCGGGTTGTTGTCTCTTTGACATATTCCCCATTTCCATTTTCAATTTTAATTATTCTGTAAGAGCAGTGAAATATAATTCATCATTTTCGATCCAACATTCGTCTGTTATATGTATATCTGAGACATAATATGATTGTCCAAGATTATATATGATAGTATTGGTGAGCAAATGCATGGAAGTTGTTTAATTTATTGACTTTGAAAAAAACATAATACTTTCAGTTTCATGGACTAACTATCTTAAAAATATTTGTCAATAAAAATGATTTCGCAAGTACCTGTAGTACCTGTATTACTAAGTCATGAATAATTATGGCAGTTGTTTCCATTCGTTCCGTTGGTTGATATAGTCTAAGTAAACGTTTGATTTTGTCAGGTTTTATGGACTTTTCCAACTTTTGAATTAATACATTTTAGTTCGATATTTTTATTTTCGCAAGTGGTTTTAATTACATAAATTCTCGTGCTTTTAAAAATAAGACCAGAATATCACATTTAAGATTATTCAACGAAACGACAAACAATCTAACAATTGTCCTATTAATCTTGATCGCTACAATCTAAATGATGAGAAAACATACCAAACCTATCAGTTGTCTAACAGCCACGCCCATTGTTAGATTTACTTGTGTAATCCCTTCACATACTGGACGAATTCCTGTGTCGTAATCAGTAAATATAGAGTCAGATATTTGCTTTGAAAAACTGCTACAATTCACATCTAAAAATTGTAAAAAAAAGTCACATACAGAATAAATTTATTCAGATGCTTTATCAAATTTAAATTCAGCCCATCATTTTAGTTTCCTCGAAAATATTTAGACTTTTCGATCAGGAGACTTGACATTTCAATTTCCATACAAACTTCAGGTTTAGCGATAAAATAAAGAGAGAAGAAGGATTGGTTGATGAGTAAGTTTTGACGAGTGAAAAACATAATATAATTTTATATATATACCCAAGATTTTGTTTGACTTTTTTAAAAATTATGATGGTGGAATATTAATGAGAAAAAACTTATGTTTGTCTCCTCCGCAGTTTTGCCGAATTTCCGTGGTTGGCGGTCACGTCATTCCATTATGCATGCTGATAGACTTAGGGTCAAACCCTGACCTGCTTTCAAACTGTGTTAAATCTTCGATGTATGCAGTAATGATAAGATACTTGCATAAATTAAACATGGACATACGTGTCTCTCCGGCACAATCGGTGAGGAAATATTTGTCCCTCCGGCAGCAAGAGGGTTGATATCAAAAGAACTCAATCTTCAAAGCGATTCAAAACTTCTAAGGTACTTTATTTTAGATTAAGTCGGTCCATCACTTTAATTGTAGTGTCTCTTTCTCTATGAGTATAATGTAAATATTACTACGACTCATTTATCATATGAAATTTTTATTTGGTTGACAAGTTTTGAGACAAGAAAATAGAAATTAATAGCAGTAATTATATACACTATTCCATATTAATTTCAATTTGTTGGGATAAAGTAAACAATCTAAAATATCATAATTCTCCAGGGTCATTAAAATATTAAATTTATACTAAGATACGATCGGTTTGAGTTCTAGTTATAGACTTCACATATAACCAATTTGTCCAGGTATCTTTTTTTACTCAAACATTGCATGAAATCAAATAATTATTGTTTTAATTTTTTCTAATAGTTCGTTTAGTGTATCTATTCCAATTACTTTATATTAATGTGTTAGATGAAAATAAAAAAAAGGCTTTGTCTTTGCAAAATTTATGATAATATTAAAAGGCAACGCTAAAGATGGAACGTGAATGTGACTTGCAATGACAACTTCTTTAATACTACCATTACAAATCTTAATACAGTAAATTCAAATATTATTGCGTGCATTTATCATTTCGATTTTTTAAGAATTGACAAAAATACGAGATTAAGTATTGCGATTTATGGAAAATTTGCATACAGATAAATATATCAGATATCAGAATGCAAGTTCTTGTTATTGGGATACTCACCCTGCGCAAAAACATGATTAATGCTTGAGTTTCTTGTTTTGCAATTCTTTGTTCGTTGGAGCAATATTCATATTGTCAATTTCCAAATTCCTGTGATACTAACTTCGCACCTCTATTTGCGCATTGTTTTCTTTATTTTGAAACTTTTTGACAAATTAATTGACATGTTTAACACTAATAGTAGATACCTGTACTTCCTGTTGATAGGTTTATTAAACATACTGATTGTAACCAGACTCAAGCTAGCGAACAATAAGCCAGCGAACAATAAGGTGTATCAAGCTAGCGAACAATAAGCCAGCGAACAATAAGAAATACGCGCCAAACTGATCTTGCCTAAAAACCGAAGACTTGCAATAACATGAAACGTTCTTTGAAATCTGATGACAATCATTTCCAGTAGGAAGACGAAATGCAATACATTTTCAAAAAGACTATTAATTGAAAACTGTTTATTTATTTATTTATTTATTTATATATTCAAGACAACATAATTGTTCTTGACCACAGGACATCTCTTGTAGGATTTTCAAAATTCCTTTTAGGTTCTCCTCTCCCTTTTTTGATTACCTTTGAGTAGAAACGGTTTGTCTTTATAATCATGATAATAGTGAATAATTAAAAAAATTAGACCATACTTAACTAGTGTAAAGATAAAATTAAATCCACATGCTTATATTCTTTTTAAAAGAAAACAAAATACCGATTTTGGAACGTAAAGTACAGAATTTTGCAGTCAGAATTATAAGTTGAAATAAAAGCTAATAAATATCCACAGTTTTCGTTAGGAATGATTGAAAACTGGCAATTTATTTATTACATTTCAATAGGAAATGTGTTTTATGTGACAATGACACACGTGATACGATATCTGAATGGATATAAAGATTTTAGCTACTTTAACAGACAAAATTTTCATATCAAAGCTTTTCAAGGAGGCATATTTAAAAAAAAAATCGGGAAACAGACGGAAAAACCGAAATCAGAAGAACAATTTCTTTACACTGATTTAAATTAACAAGAACAGGATGCAATCACAACAATACAAACTATTTCATTTTAACATTGGAATTATAATCGGGGAAAGGGTCCAAAGTTGGGGTAGGGTGACCCAACCCCCTCCCTTCTTTAATTCATAAAAAAGTCCCTACGGCAAAGCTTTTGTCCACACTAGGTACAAATGATAGGCAATTGCCTAAGGTTGCCTGGACCCAAAGACCCAGGTGGGTAAAGTTACGGAACTTTTTTAATTGAGGTCCAAAGTTGGGGTAGGGTGACCCAACCCCCTCCCTTCTTTAATTCATAACAAAGTCCCTACGGCAAAGCTTTTGTCCACACTAGGTACAAATGATAGGCAATTGCCTAAGGTTGCCTGGACCCAAAGACCCAGGTGGGTAAAGTTACGGAACTTTTTTAATTGAGGTCCAAAGTTGGGGTAGGGTGACCCAACCCCCTCCCTTCTTTAATTCATAAAAAAGTCCCTACGGCAAAGCTTTTGTCCACACTAGGTACAAATGATAGGCAATTGCCTAAGGTTGCCTGGACCTAAAGACCCAGGTGGGTAAAGTTACGGAACTTTTTAAATTGAGGTCCAAAGTTGGGGTAGGGTGACCCAACCCCCTCCCTTCTTTAATTCATAAAAAAGTCCCTACGGCAAAGCTTTTGTCCACACTAGGTACAAATGATAGGCAATTGCCTAAGGTTGCCTGGACCCAACGACCCAGGTGGGTAAAGTTACGGAACTTTTTTAATTGAGGTCCAAAGTTGAGGTAGGGTGACCCATCCCCCTCCCTTCTTTAATTCATAAAAAAGTCCCTACGGCAAAGCTTTTGTCCACACTAGGTACAAATGATAGGCAATTGCCTAAGGTTGCCTGGACCCAACGACCCAGGTGGGTAAAGTTACGGAACTTTTTTAATTGAGGTCCAAAGTTGAGGTAGGGTGACCCAACCCCCTCCCTTCTTTAATTCATAAAAAAGTCCCTACGGCAAAGCTTTTGTCCACACTAGGTACAAATGATAGGCAATTGCCTAAGGTTGCCTGGACCCAAAGACCCAGGTGGGTAAAGTTACGGAACTTTTTTAATTGAGGTCCAAAGTTGGGGTAGGGTGACCCAACCCCCTCCCTTCTTTAATTCATAAAAAAGTCCCTACGGCAAAGCTTTTGTCCACACTAGGTACAAATGATAGGCAATTGCCTAAGGTTGCCTGGACCCAAAGACCCAGGTGGGTAAAGTTACGGAACTTTTTTAATTGAGGTCCAAAGTTGGGGTAGGGTGACCCATCCCCCTCCCTTCTTTAATTCATAAAAAAGTCCCTACGGCAAAGCTTTTGTCCACACTAGGTACAAATGATAGGCAATTGCCTAAGGTTGCCTGGACCCAAAGACCCAGGTGGGTAAAGTTACGGAACTTTTTAAATTGAGGTCCAAAGTTGGGGTAGGGTGACCCAACCCCCTCCCTTCTTTAATTCATAAAAAAGTCCCTACGGCAAAGCTTTTGTCCACACTAGGTACAAATGATAGGCAATTGCCTAAGGTTGCCTGGACCCAACGACCCAGGTGGGTAAAGTTACGGAACTTTTTTAATTGAGGTCCAAAGTTGAGGTAGGGTGACCCAACCCCCTCCCTTCTTTAATTCATTAAAAAGTCCCTACGGCAAAGCTTTTGTCCACACTAGGTACAAATGATAGGCAATTGCCTAAGGTTGCCTGGACCCAAAGACCCAGGTGGGTAAAGTTACGGAACTTTTTTAATTGAGGTCCAAAGTTGGGGTAGGGTGACCCAACCCCCTCCCTTCTTTAATTCATAAAAAAGTCCCTACGGCAAAGCTTTTGTCCACACTAGGTACAAATGATAGGCAATTGCCTAAGGTTGCCTGGACCCAAAGACCCAGGTGGGTAAAGTTACGGAACTTTTTTAATTGAGGTCCAAAGTTGGGGTAGGGTGACCCATCCCCCTCCCTTCTTTAATTCATAAAAAAAGTCCCTACGGCAAAGCTTTTGTCCACACTAGGTACAAATGATAGGCAATTGCCTAAGGTTGCCTGGACCCAAAGACCCAGGTGAGTAAAGTTACGGAACTTTTTTAATTGAGGTCCAAAGTTGGGGTAGGGTGACCCATCCCCCTCCCTTCTTTAATTCATAAAAAAGTCCCTACGGCAAAGCTTTTGTCCACACTAGGTACAAATGATAGGCAATTACCTAAGGTTGCCTGGACCCAAAGACCCAGGTGGGTAAAGTTACGGAACTTTTTTAATTGAGGTCCAAAGTTGGGGTAGGGTGACCCATCCCCCTCCCTTCTTTAATTCATAAAAAAAGTCCCTACGGCAAAGCTTTTG